TGATGCAGAGGTCTTAATCTCCATCCTATATTCCCTTTGTTATCTCTCCATTACCTCCACTGATTAGGAAATGGTACGGTGTTGTATACTCTTCCCTAGGAGCTGTTTTCAGGAAAGGACTAAACTTCCATTTGAAGTTTGCAATCTGATACCTGATCATCTTAAATTCACATCCCCTCTGAATCAGGACTGGCCCCTCCTATTGGGGTAAGGAGGGTATAACGATTAAAAATGGGACCAATATCTTCTTTGTTGAGATGACTCAACCTCTAGTGATCTGAGACTACACCTTAATCCTATACAGGACCAGTTGAATAGGAAGTATTTAACAACTGAAGTTGCCTTGCATTGGGTCCAATGCTCCTCCCACTAGTAACATGATTTATAAGCTAGACAGTCAAGGCTACCCATATACACAGTGCATGGATGGATATTAAATAGCCTTCTCTTCTAGAATAAGAAGTTTTAGAACTTTACTGAAGTTCAAGTCTTCAGATGTTTTTTTGAATATTAGGATGTGTGACTGGAGGATAAAGCTGACCCAAGTCATGCACAACTAGACCTCACCAGCAGAGGTCAGGAGAGGATAAGGAGTGTAAGAAGCAAAGAGTCGTGTTTTGATAGAATAATGATATTGAAAAGTCATGTATTTTGAGCAAGATTTCACACCTCGTAAAATTAAAATATAATTTTTAAAGATCTGAAAAGGCTCCAATATTCTGTTAAGCCATGCAAAATACTGCACTGCAAAAAGGAGTAGCTGAATCCATGAAAATTCATAGCTTTACATATCCTTTCCTCATTAAAAACATCAGTAAGCTCAAAGAAACAATATAATCCATTATTAATAGTGTTCTCTGCAGAGTAAATATAATAAGTGTGTTTGTTTATTTGTTTCAGTACTGTCAGGGGGAATCCAAAGCAGTCTGCAAATACCAACACCAATCCTCTTATGAGGGACTGCCTTCTACACCCTATTTTAAACAGAGAATTACCTTATGTAAAAAGAATACACTGGCAAAGCTGGAACAAAAGCCCCGATGACCTGACTATGCATCAGTGTACAAGTCTTCCCGAACGGCAGGCAGGAAGTACACGTTGCAAGTGGGTGCTTCGTGAAGACTGATGAACACTTGTACGCTTCCACAAGGCTATCATTTCCACTGATTTTATTAAATGCCGCATATGAATATGTAGAATTTTTTATTACTTCCTAGAAATGGCAGACCTTGGCCATTAGGACTAGGCAATCACTGAAGAACATATGAACTAAACTGAAACTAGAAAAATTGGGGGAAATCCTGATAAACTAAAAAGTTTCCAGCCTCAGACTGCTTTGCATGTGTCTAAAGTTCTCATTCTACTTTAAAGAAACCAATTGGGCCACACAATATGAGTGCAGTTTATGGACAAGGGTAGGACGGAGTCTCAGTCAGCAGCCTCAGAACCCCTGCTCCCAGTAAAAGCCTGACAAGGGAATATAAAACTATGTCTTACATTAAATTATTAAGGTGTGCGTATCATTTCATAGTGATTCCCTATTATATTAAACTGTTTAGAGCAAACAATCCATTAATTATAACTTTAATTGCATTGGATAAGAGGTCTTTTACTGTACAGGCAAATCTCTTAAAAAAAAAAATTAAAAACAAACAACCTCCCTCAAGCATGCGTTCTCCAACTAGGTTTTGTCTCATATTTCTTCTTTCCTTCACTGTCACATTTCTTGAATCATCTACACTACTGGTTCCCACATGTCTGAATTTTCTGGACCAGGAATTCGTTTTGAAAGGGGAAGAGAGGTGGCATTGGAGAGAAAAGTCAACAGTGGGTTGCCAGATTTTTATTCTGCCAAATATGGATAAGGTACCTTCCAACTCTTCTCTCCCTCATTTCTCAAATAAAGCACACTGTCAACATTTGAAAGGACAAGCTCCGTCAACCTTTAAATTCGCATGTTTAATGACATAACACAGTCTTTATGTTCACCTGGTCGTTCACTCAGCCACCATTTATTAAGCACGTACTATGTGCCCTGCTCTAGGTTCTGGGGATACAACAGTGAACAAAGCAGATGAAATCCCCCTCCTAGAGATTACATCCTAGTGAGGAAACAGATAAAGATATAAGTAAAATACTGAGTAAGTGAAACAGTGTGAGTACCAAAGAGAGAAACAAAGGACGGAGGGGGATAGTTGACATGCAGGGGGGTAGGGAGTTCCCAACGTAAGATCTCAGATGCCAGGGAGGGTCTTATTCCGAAGGTGGTGTCATACAGTAAATACCTGGAGGAGATGAGGGACCGCGCCCTGCAGCTCTTGGGGGTAGGAGGAGGGGCTCCCCAGGAGAGCAGGCAGCCAGGCAAAAGCCTGAAAGAGGGAACATGGTGGGCTGGTCGGGGTACACTGAGGAGGCCGGTGGGTGAGCAAGAGACGGGAGCAGGAGAGGAGAGACTCACGGAAACCAGTCACACGGGGCTCTGAGATCATTCTAAGGACCTTCCCTTTTACTGTGGATAAGCTGGAGAGCAGGCAGGATGTTCCCATCAAGAGTGGCATGCTCTCTCTTATTTTAACAGGATCATTCCAGCTCTTGTGGTGAACAGACAGGGGACACTAGCAGAAGAAAGGAGCTGGAAGCCCCAGAAGAGAGGTTCCAGCAGACCAGGCAGCAGAAGCGGGGATGCTGAGAAGTCATCAGACTCTGGACACACACTGAAGGCCGAGCTGACACATGAGGTGTGGGGGTGGTCAAACACAACTCAGAAGTTTTTAGACTGAAACCTGGAAGGGTGGCGTTCCCACTGGTTGAGATGGGAAGCTTGTTCACAGATGGATTTGAAGAGAATAACAGAAACCCCAGTTTGGACATTTTTTAGACATCTGAGTGTATGGAGTAAGCCAGACACTAAGTCTAGACGCTGAAATGCACACACAGTCTGGGGGTTGGCGTTTAAAGCCAAAAGACTAGATGAGATGACCGAGGAGGAGACCCAGACAGGAAAGGAAGTTCCAGGCCTGAGCCATGGGCTCAGGATAAAGTCATGAGACGAGAAGGAACAAGTGGAGGAAATGGAGAAAGAGCAGCCAGTGAGGAAAGAAGAATATGCGGAGAGTAGGGGGTTCTGAAGGCCAAGAAGTGGGAACGTGTGAGAGTGAGAGGCTAAGCAACCACATCACATGCGCGGGTGGGTCACTGGGAACTGACTACTTGGTGTGACAGTGCAGAGATAAGAAATGAGAAACACGAAGCAAGCACATCGGCTGGGCAAGGCCAGAGAAGGAGGTACTGGAGGTTTGAGAGGGAATAGAAAGCTGCACTAGTTAAAATGGGAGCAGAAATTCACTAGGAGGGAACGGTATAATGTCCAGGCAGCATAAACATCCAGCTGAGGTTTGTGATCATGGATGTAAAGTAAAACCAGTCATTCCACTTGGGAGTCTTTTCGCAGTTGCACGGAGCCACTCAGGTGCAGGCGCTGTAGAGGCACAAAGCTCAGCCCAGGAGAAGTGGGCAGGAGGGGGGAGGGGGCGGTCCCAGCCTGTGGCAGAGCTGAGCTGGGAAGAGAGGGGAATGAAGACGTAACAGCTGTGGGATCCAGAGGGTCCACGGATTAACCAAGTCAGGGCACTAACAGAGAGAGAATGGCCAGAGCGTGGACACAAGCAAATCCCTGCGTGCCCACTTCCAAGTGGTCTGTTAGAAGTTCACCAGGGGCAGAACTGGTAGCAAGAGCCGTCACTTCCTTCTCCTGCATCCCTGGGCCGCAGGGGCCCGCCTTCTCCACCAGCACCACTGCCAGGGCATGCTGCAAACACCATGCCCCTGAAAGCCACTATCGTTTCCCACTACTGTCTCACATGACCTGCCTCTAGTCACTGGATGAACAGCCAGCCTCTCAGAGCAGAAACTATGCCGTATTCGATCCTGATGTTCCAGACTATGGCCTCGATTCTAGACCTGTGCATGATATATAGTTGCTAAGCAGTAATACAGCTTTATTAAGAGAAAGAAATTGCTTTGCCCAAACATCGAGGTTATGACACAGAATCAGGCAGTCACAAGAGAATTTAGCCGCAGGAAGTACCTATAGGGCTCTCTACATGGTATATGTAAAATGGCACTTTTTATCCAGAGTTATGTTACAGTTCTAATTTTCAGGAAATTTTTTATTTTAGAAAGATTTTCTAAAGTATTTTTCAAATTCCAATTCCAATTTTACCTCCATTGTCTGAAACCCAGCCTCCTTCCCCCATCAAACATAAACAAACTGAGAATAATCCCCCCGATCAATAGCCTCCCTCTCAATTCATAAATTCTACAATTCACTTTTAGGTACATAAAACAATGGAGAGGGGGAGGGAGGCTCTAAGCAACATTCAGTCGCTGGTTCTCATGCACACCCAGCTACGGAGTCAGCTCCCCAGCCAAGTGCAATGAAGAAAGGGGAACCACTGAGTTACAAAAAACTGATGAGTTTACTATATGTAAGACTTCTAAGTCTTTAAAATGCACATGTACTTATTTGACTACAGCAAACTCTTTTTGTTGTTGTCTGTGGAAAATGTGATTAAAAGCTCATGGCACAGTTGTGTTCCAAAGAGCTGCTGGTCTGGACCACGGCTTTAGGTGCTTGAGAGGCACCCGTGAAACTTTTACACCTTAGGGGCCCAGGTTCTCGCTGCTCCCAAGCTCTGTGCTCTCACCAGGCCCGAGTCCTGAGGCATCCTCAATGGAGAACTACCCATCCACAATGTACTCTCTGCTAACGCCTACCTCTCCTTTTTTCCAAGTACCTATCAGAAGTTCCATAAAATCTAAAATTATTTCACCATTAATTTAATTACTTTCTTACAGTAAGAAACATGAGGGTCAAATTCTAACGATGACTACAGCACTGACATATAACACGGCACTCACAATCACAAAGGTGGCAGGTTTTATCCCTCTGATGAACGTAATTCCCCGGTAACTGTAAACAAACGCAGAGCTGGACTTACCCGTTCCATAGCTGCGTTATGATATGGGAGCTCCTCTTCGCTGCAGAGGAAAAACAGTGGATGTGAAATAGTTTAAACCAGAGCAAACTTTTAAAAAATTATAAACCTGTAGGTAAACATCATGTACAACCATTTATTTATCATCTCAAGAGCTATGTAAGCTTCCATTCCACCGAATTTAACATAAAACAATGAGCTATTCTGTAACCACGTCCCGTTTTCAAATCTCTAGACACACTCTGTCCAATCCAGTCATCTCCTGTCACAGGTGGCTGTTTAATTTTAAATGTAAATTAAAATGAAATAAAATTAAAATTTCAGTTATGAGCCTCATTAGCCATGGTTCAGCTACCATACTGAACAGTGCAGATACAGTGAGAACACTTGCACCACTGCAGAAAGTTCTACTGGACAACACTGCTCTAGTCCAGGAGTCAACAACCTTTTCCTGCAAAGGTCAATATTGAATAGTAAATATTTTAGGCTTTGTGGGCCACACAGTGTTTTTCATAATGCTCAACTTTGATGTCGTACTGTGAAAGCAGATACTGACAGCATGTAAATAGAGTGTGGTTTTGTTCCCATAAAACGTTTACAAAAATAGGTGGTGAGCTGGATTTGGCCTATAAGGCCATAGTTTGCCAACCTTTACCCTAGACCATCACCTCCACTTTCTGTCTTCAACTATAGCCTGTAACAAATGATTGTTCAAAAAAATTAGTATAAGGAAATAAAGCTGCCTCCCATGGATTTATGAATTAAAAAGAAAACTTCAACTTTTATTCTGTAAATAAGGAAAGCTTCATTTGTCGAAACTTGGAATAATTTTTTAAAATGTAAATATAATAAAAGATCAAATCCATTTCTCTGATACAGTAATTTTGTGATACCACCTCCAATATAAAACATTCTGAGACTCTTGAATTAATTGTCAGTAATATGAAAACAATGTACTATCTGTAAACAGTGCTATGTACTTTGAGTTGCTCTATCAGTAGTACTGATGTTTTGACAAGAACTATCCATATTCTTCCGTTAGTTTCTATTGACACCAGATAATAACTCTTTTAAGAGTACAATATGTTAGTATTCAAGAGTCCAACGTTTTCAAAAGCACTCTTTTGCTACTCTGGAGAGTGAGTCCTTAGGTGAAGCGTGAAGCTACAGCAATGAAACTGACCAATAGGTGTAAGAGCCAAAAGGGATCTCAGAGAGATAGTCCAACCCCCTCATTTCACAGATAAGAAAACTAACATTTTCACTCAGACACCATCACTTATCCTAATACAGAGATGTTCAGCACTATCTAACCCAGTGGGTTCAAACTTAGATAAGTATCTATCTTCAGATTGTGCAAGAGTATATGAAAAACAGGCTAAGAAACCAATTCTCAAGAAAAAGAATACCTGAGGATTAAATATAAGTTTATTTTTTTTGAAGTGCCTACTCACCTTTTTTTTTTTAAAATAGCTTTTGTTAGGCTCTTAGTCTAACTTTCCCTGCTGATTTGTAATCCTGATTACTAGTAATGCATGAATTACCAGTGATGCATGAATGGCACCCATCCATTCTTCATTTACTGGCAGAAGAAGGCCTGTCAACACTACTGGAATGTACTTGGCTAGGTGATGAGGTCAGCAAGGATATCTTGAAAGAATAAGAACATCTGGCAACCTCTGTGTGCACCAACAATGGTATTTCTGGGGTGAGCGGGCTGGGCTGCCCTGGGCAAGAGCAACCTTCTGTGCAGCTGATGTGAGCAGATCCTGACCTAACACTGAACACTGAACATTCCTAACTGCAAATGAAGTGCCAACTCTGGCTGCCACCACAGGACAAGCTCTTCAGTGTCCTCCTATTCACTAAACAAGACTAACAGACCTAACTGTGCCTGTTCTCAACACTGAATCAGAACCAAGTTTTGCACACGTCTGTGGAATGGTGCGAATCATCTGCTCAGGCAACACAGTCTGTGCCAGGCAGGTCCTCCCCCCGCCTCTGGCAACCACCAGTATGTTCTCTATATGTAAGAGTTTGGGTTTTTCTTTTTTTACATTTCACATGTAAGTGACATCATACAGCATTTGTCTTTCCCTGACTTATTTCACTTAGTATAATGCCTTTAAGGTCCACCCATGTTGTTACTAATGGCAGAATTTCCTTCTTTTCTATGGCTGAATAATATTCCACTGAATATATTCACCACATATCCATTCATCCGTTGATGGATGCTCAGGTTGTTTCATGTCTTGGCTATTGAGAATAATGCTGCAATGAACATGGTGGGTACAGATACCTTTTTGAGTTAGTGTTTTCATTTCCTTCAGATACATACCCAGAATTGAAATTGCTAGATCAGACAGTAGTTCTATTTTTGATTTTTTGAGGAACCTCCATACTATTTTCCATAGTGGCTATACCAATTTACGTTCCCACCAACAGTGTACAAGGGTCCCCTTTTCTCCACATCCTTGCAAAACTTGTTATTTCTTGTCTTTTTGATGATATTCATTCTAACGGGAACAAGGTGATATCTCACTGTGGTTTTGATTTGCATTTGCCTGATGATTAGTGATACTGAACACATTTTCATGTACCTGTTGGCCATCTTCTTTAGAAAAATACCTATTCAGATCCTCTGCCCATTTTTTTTTATTGGATTGTTTAGAGGGTTTGTTTGGCTAGAGTTGTATAAGTTCTTTGTATATTTTGGATATTAATCCCTTATCACAGCGGTCCCCAACCTTTTTGGCACCAGGGACCAGTTTCGTCAAAGACAATTTTTCACGGACGGTGGTGGGGGGATTGGTTCAGGTGATAATGCAAGCGATGGGGAGCAGCAGATGAAGCTTTGCTCACTCGCCTGCCACTCACCTCCTGCTGTGTGGCCCGGTTACTAACCGGCCACAGACTGGTACCAGTCCACAGACTGGGGGTTGGGGACCCCTACCTTATCAGATATATGATTTGCAAATCTTTTCTCCCATTCAGTAGGCTGCCTTTTCATTTTCTTCATGGTTTCCTTTGCTATGCAGAAACTTTTTAGCTTGATGTAGTCCCACTTGTTGTTTGTTTGTGTTTGTTTTTACTTTTGTTGCCTTTGCTTTTGGTGTCAAATCCAAAAACTCATCACCAAGACCAATGACAAGGAGGTTACCACCCACTTTTTCTTCTAGGAGTTTCATGGTTTCAGATCTTATGTTCAAGTCTTTAATCCATTTTGAGTTGATTTTGGGGTATCGTATAACATACTGGTCCAATTTCATTCTTTTGCATGTAGCTGTCCAGTTTTCCCAACACCATTTACTGAAGAGACTGTCCTTTCCCCTTTGTATATTCTTGGTTCCTTTGTTATAAATTAACTGACCACATATACATGGACTCTAACAGATCTATGTGTCTGTTTTCATGTCAGTACCATACTGTTTTGATTACTGTAACTTGTAATAGAGTTTGAAATCAGGAAGCATGATGCCTCCAGCTTTGTTCTTCTTTCTCCAGATTGCTGTGGCTATCCCGGGGCTTCTGTGGTTCCACACAAATTTTATAATTGACTGTTCTATTTCTGGGAAACATGCCACTAGAATTTTGATGAAAACTGCATTAAATCTGTAGATTGCTTTGGGCAGTATGGACATTTTAACAGTATTAATTCTTCCAATCCATGAGCATGGAATATCCTTCCATTTATTTGTGTCTACTTATATTTCATCAATGTCTTACAGTTTTCAGTGTACAGGTCTTTCACCTCCTTGGTTAACTTGATTCCTAGGTATTTTACTCTTTTTGATGCAATTGTAAATGAGACTGTTTTCTTAATTTCTTTCTGATAGTTTGTTACCAGGGTATAGACATACAACTGGTTTTTGTATGCTGATTGTATATCCTACTTTACTGAATCCGTTTATTAGTTCCAACATTTAGTGGAGTCTTCAGAGACTATATAGACAGACATATCATCTGCAAATGGAGGTGGTTTTACTTCTTTCCTTCCAATTTAGATGTGTTTTATTTCTTTTTCTTGCCTAATTGCTCTGGCTAGGACTTCCAATATTATGTTCAATAAAAGTGGTGAGAGTGGGAACCCTTGTCTTGTTCCTCATCTTAGAGGAAAAGCTTTCAGTTTTTCATCACTGAATATGATGTTAGCTGCAAGCTTGTCAGGTAGCCTGTATTATGCTGAGGTACATTCACTCCATACTCATTTTGTTATGAGTTTTTATCCTGAATGGATGTTGAATTTTATAAAGTCTTAAGATCTCATAGATAGAATGTGATCCATTCATGAATTTTCTTGCATTATTGCTCCATTTCTAAAATCTTTCATACAAAATCTGCTATGTGCTCAACACTGATCTCCAAAGAACTTTTCCTCTTCTAGTCTCTGTGCTGGCATACACTCTTTCACAGCCTTCCAAAGAGAAAACAGGGAACTGTGCCTTATCAAGAGCTATACACAATGTATAGATCCACAAGTAAAACACTATGGCAGCCTCAGGCACCATGGCTGGCATGCTGCAGGAGTGTACTAATGTTGCTGAATGAATGTATGAAGGGAAGGATGAATGCATGCCTGCATTCATGTATGTATCCTTACCTTGACACCTAAATATCCTCCAAGTAGAAGAAAGGGAAGACCAAAATCTGGGTGACTGCAGTGTTCCTTTAGATCAGCAAACTACAGCCCCTGAATGAAATCTGACCATCGGTCTGTTTCTGTTTTCACAGCCAGAAAACAGGGAACTGTGCCTTATCAAGAGCTATACACAATGTATAGATCCACAAGTAAAACACTATGGCAGCCTCAGGCACCATGGCTGGCATGCTGCAGGAGTGTACTAATGTTGCTGAATGAATGTATGAAGGGAAGGATGAATGCATGCCTGCATTCATGTATGTATCCTTACCTTGACACCTAAATATCCTCCAAGTAGAAGAAAGGGAAGACCAAAATCTGGGTGACTGCAGTGTTCCTTTAGATCAGCAAACTACAGCCCCTGAATGAAATCTGACCATCGGTCTGTTTCTGTAAATGAAGTTTTACTGGAACACCACCATGCTCATTTATATATTGTCTATGGTTGTTTTCAGGCTACCATGGTAGAGTTGAATAGCTGTAAGAAAAACCATATGGTCCACAAAGCCAAAAAGTACTTAATATCTGCCTCTTTACAGAAAATGTTTTCTCACCCCTGCTTTAGAAAACGAAGGTTTGTCGTCTAATGGAAAGAGGAGACTGCTTAAAGAAAACACCAAGCTGATAGCAAGAAGTTACGCCTTGTAGAAATACACAAAGTAAAAACAACAACATAGTCATCACTGGAAACACAGGGACCTTACCTGGATCTATTTTCTTTTATCTGCTATTAAGCTTAAAAGAATTACTAATAGAGTGTATGTGCTTGTAATTTCTCAATAGCTCAAATGGAGTATTTCTGTAACTATGAGATAAACTTTCATTTGGAAACATAAAAGTTAACTTGTGAAAATCAGTTATTCAATATACTGACTAAATTTTATTTCTGATTTTGTGGCAAATTTTGCCTAACTTTAGATTTACTCTAGTCAAAATTATTGGATGGGTAGAAAGAGTTCTCAAGGCCTTGTCATTAAAACAGATATTCTTTAAAAACAAAAACACCATTATTCCGGCTTATAAATATTTATATAGTCACATTAAACTACAGACAATGTGCTAAATTTTATAAATATACACACTTTGATAAGCAGTTGAAAATCTGAAGCTTGGTATTAATTTTATCTTTATTTTTGAAACAATTTCCTTCTAATTCTTCTATTAATAACTTGTGGCCTAAAAGCATTATCTATGATTATCCAAATACCAAGCATTCTTTGTCGAGCAGACTGACAGTGACTATTTTTGAAAAAAGTGTTGAAAGTTCAAATACTGAAAGTTCCCTAAGTTCTTAAATAAGCTCGATTTCTCCATTCTCCAGATACAAGTCCACCACAGGCATGCAGCTAGGGACAGCTCCCCATTTCTGCGTACTAAACAAAGACGACCCTGTTCCAGCATCACACCAGGCTGGTTTGGCATCAGTTTTTATATTTATTGTGAAATCTGTTATAAAACCAAGTTAGTCCTATACTGTATTTGTTAATTACTGTCATCCTTCTTCACATAACAAGTAATTTAAGTTACAAAAACTGTAATTAGATATGAAGTCAGCAGCCTTCAGAGAAGGCTGCAAAGTTACTTTGTACCATTTTATTGACCTTGACACTTAAAACGCATGTTTATCACAGAACCAATCAGAAATTACAAAGAACTAAGACAGCACAGAGAAACGCTCTTGATCAAGGTGTGACAGGGAGCAACGTCTAAATGCCTAGGCCAGGTGACTTTATTCAATGCGCAAAAAACCCCAGCAGCAACCTTGGGAGAAAGTGTCTCACTGAAATGAAGCACTGTAACAAAAATCAATGCCTTTGGTGAAATTCAATAAAGCCTAACGTTACACTAAGATCCATTTCTATGCTTCATTATTTCTATTTGTGCTGCCTGCTTTAGGATTGCACCATGGAGTTAATAAAAAATTTAGGGGGGCAGTATGAGGACTGGTTGGGCTTCGTTTTCAAAGACCGGTGAGCTCACCAGTGGGATCATTTCAAACAGATCCCTTTCCTTAGGCACTCTTCTTTCCCCCTTTAATTTTCTTTCTAGGCATTTCGAAGAGCTTCTTCGATGTTTCTCTTATTAAAACTACAGAGGCAACAGAATGCAGAAGGTCAGAACTCAGGCTCTGCCCTGAGGCTGCCACGGTCAGTTCCCCAACCTTACTGCGAGTGCAACCTGGGCAAGTTGCTTGATCTCTTTGTGCTTCAGTTTCATCTAAAAAAAGACAAAAAGAGTACCTACCCCAAAGAAGTTTTGAGAGGAATAATCCATGTTAAGGGCTTAGAACAGTGCCTGGCACACAGTGAGTGCTCAATAAATATTAGCTAATATTATTAAGGTAAATCACTGACCAGCTTTTTTTCCCACTAGAGCCAAATGGACCTCAGCACAGAGGTAAAAAGAAACATGGAGTAAATGAGTGTGATTTTTAGACAGTAGACACAGGCTAGGCTCTTGGGCCTGAACCTAGTTGTTTCAAGCAATGAGAAAAGAGAATTTAGCTAATTCCTAGACCCTTCTGGAATGCACGGATTTTTCATACGTATTTTGTCCTATATTAGACCATTTTATGATAAAAACATCCTTTGTAGTGGTTCGCGCCCATCACAAACACTTGGGGAGGTCAAAATCAGCTGAGTTGTACCCTACCTTCTGAATCAGAATCTGGGATACAACCCAGATATCTATTTAAACGAACAAACAAACAAACAAACAAACATTTTCCAACTAATTCTAATGTGCAGGAGATTTTGGGACCCACTGATCTTGACAGTGCTAAATGCTCAAAGTGTCTTTCCAAACAGCATTCACATACCTCAGATCTGCACATTAACCCACACAAATGTAAAATCATTTCCTGTCACATTTGTGGCCAAGTTTGATTTACTTAAAAAAAAAAAAAAAAAAAGCCGAAGTGGGGGTTTCCCTTAGGGACAGTATTTTCATCACAGTTACACACTGCTCTGTTGGTCTGCTGAAATTCAAAGTCTTCTAATTAGAACTAGGCAGGAGAACATTTCAGATATGCTGATATCATTAGGTAGCATAATGACACCTTACGTTTGTCTAGACCTGTATGTAGTATTCTATCATTTTATTTCTTCAAAGCTTCAAGTACCCCTAAGTATGTAGAGCAATTAATGATTTCTGTTTCACAGATAAGGCATGAAATAGCTAACTGAAACCAGCAAAGCCAGAAGAAGAGCATACATTCTAACTCTCAGAACTGTTTCTGTTTGTTTGCTTGTGTCACCCTGAGAAAAACAAGATACAACAAAATACTTTCTAAATGCAAGAAAAATGAACAGAAAGGAAAAAGAAGTTCTGAGTACTATAAAGTTACTGCTATGAACTCCCTAAGAAATTGTATTCCTCCTTCAAAATTTAATCATATATCACAAAATAAAAATCCCTGGCTTCTTCCTCTTTAAAATAAATGAGACTGGGAAAGGATAAATGTGAATAAGTAGTAGGTTAATCACTAAATTGTATGGAACCATACAAACTACAGAGATGCAGAAAAGTCTCCAGTCCATGGGACTCTAACTAAACAAAGCCAGAACCAAACAGGCAAATTCACATCATTTCAGGATGTTTTTAAGAGTCAAAATCACTTTAACTACTTTACTTTATAGTGCTCTAGACCTCTCTCGACTCCTTACGTAACATACTCAGGATAAATGGAATTAATTCTCAGAAGCAATAACACGAACACATTTCCCACCATAAGGAAGATCAGTGGCATTTCTTTTCATTGCTCATTTTCAGGCTGCACGATACTAAAGTTCGAACTGCTAATTATTTTTAAAATGCATTTACATAAAATAAAATGTTTTATAATTATTTTTGAAATATAAGTTGTTACTGATTTCCACTTCTGCTAAATTATTAATATAACTCATTCATTGCACTTAATGTTCTTACTAAAACACAATGAATATTAAAGACTGTATTCTTAACTATAGTTCAATTTCAATCACAGAGGTTAAAAATGCCGGGAATTTAATAAAAAAAGCATGTTGCAGGATCAATCCTGGAATCTTATTCAGAGGAATGCTATTAAAAATAAAGAAAATCTATGAAATAGGAGACCATAGAAACATAATTTTAAAAGTTAGCTTTCAAACTATGCAACTTACTGTAAGAAGCCAAATCTATCCGTGACTTTGTAAACAAGGTAATCAGCATCTTCCCAAGGTTCAATCTCTGCACCTTCTCGTCCCTATAATAGGGGACAAAGAAGGGTGTTATTGGGAATATATAAAACTGAATAATTTCTTTAAAAGAACAAAAAACAAGACTTATTTTTTACTAAAAATAAGAGCTGGAACTGAAGCATTATCGACCCTAAATAACTTTAAAAAAAAATTTCTGGCAATAATCACTATTTCTTTGATGCAAACTTTGGAAGACATGAAGCTGTGATCAGACCTGGGTTCCTGTGAGAAACAGACTGGGAAAGAGGGAGCAACGGAGGACTAGAAGCCACTCAAGAATGAACCGCCAGGGCTTCCCTGGTGGTGCAGTGGTTAAGAATCCTCCTCCCAATGCAGGGGACATGGGATCGAGCCGTGGTCCGGGAAGATCCCACATGCTGCGTGCGCCACAACTACTGAGCCTGTGCTCTAGAGCCTGCGAGACACAACTGCTAAGCCCGCATGCCACAACTACTTAGGCCCACTCTCCTAGAGCCTGTGCTTCACAGCAAGAAAAGCCACCGCAATGAGAAGCCCACGCACCACAACGAAGAGTAGCCCCCGCTCGCCGCAACTAGAGAAAGCCCGTGCGCAGCAACGAAGACCCAACGTAGCCAAAAATAACTAAATAAATTTATTTTTTTTAAAAAAGAATGAACTGCCAAACTTGAAGGTTTTAGAGTGAAAACATCTTAGAAGAAAGTATGTCTTGCTTTTTCATGCTAACTTCTCAGAAGAGTAGGCTACCTACTTTGCCTCTCTTCCTCTTCACTCCCAGCTCTACTGGCCTTGATACTATACTTGCCAAGGTCAAAACCGGCCTCCCACCATCAGATCCCGTGGACACTACTCTGGCTTCCTCACCGAGTGGATTTTTCCACTGCGCTTGTCAGTGCTGCTCAGCCTCATGACACCAGCATCTCTTGGTTCTCCTGTTCCTCCCCTACTCTTCTGTGACAGCTTCCTCATGGGCTGCCCCCACCAAGTGTCCGTGTGCCCAGAGCTCCATCCTCAGCCCAATGCCCGTCACACTCCCCTCCTGAGCTGTGAAGCAGCACTGATTAGAGCAGGAGCCCCAGGGCAAGAGTCTACGCTAATCCCTCACATTTCACACTTAGTACCCGACTGTCTCGTGGATGTTTTATAACTGCCTGTTCATGTGTTCTCTGAGTAGGCCGTGAGCATCTTGTGGGCAGGGACCCCTTGTAACTCACGTTTGTACAGTGAAACCCCAAGGCCTAGCATGACACTTGGCCTGGTCACTAAATGTTAACTGCATGAAAAAAAAAAAATGCACGTGAGCGTGAACAAATGATGGTTCTATTGGTTTTAAATTAGTTAAGCAGTTAAATAAATTAATTAGGTTTTTCACAGACTATGTTACAACCTAATCATAATAATGGGAAACAGTGTCTGATGTTCCAAACAACCAACTTAAAAAGAAACTCTGGGAACATGATTGTTAAGTTGAGCTCTGTCTGTATGCCTCCCTGGAAGCAGGGCACAGTCCAGATGGCCTTCTATAATTTCATGTTCCTGTTATTCTCATAAATAATCAAAAATAACAGATATGAAATTACATCCAAGTGATATAAATATAAAACATGACATTTATAAATCATGGCTACAACTCATTACAGATCTCAAGAGATAAGGTAATAATAAGGATATATGTAAATCGTCAACAACTGTGATTTTCTAGGGCATCAAAAATGAGATTCCAGGGCTTCCCTGGTGGCACAGTAGTTGAGAGTCTGCCTGCTGATGCAGGGGACATGGGTTCATGCCCTGGTCCGGGAAGATCCCACGTGCCGCGGAGCAGCTGGGCCCGTGAGCCACAGCCGCTGAGTCTGCACGTCCGGAGCCTGTGCTCCACAACGGGAGAGGCCACAACAGTGAGAGGCCCGCGTACGGCAAAAAAAAAAAAAAAGAGATTCCATAATTAACTTAAGGATAAAATGCTAATGGAGATTATACATCATGTATAAATTTAAATTTTCAGACCCATGTTCAATTTTTAACATCATGTATCCATTATAAATAAAATGGGTATTCAATTCCATATACTAATATATTAAAATATTTATTGAATACCTAGTATGAGCCAGAACTATCGTAGGTATTTAGGATACAAGAGCAAATCAAACAAAAGAAATTCTTACCCTCGGCGAGTTTACATTCTAGGAGGGAGAGCAGACAACAAAGTATAATATAAAGTATGCTGATACTTTAAATGCTATGGTGAAAAATAAAGAACAGAAAGGGGATAGGGAGAGCCAGGGGGTGGAGGGGTGTTATTAAACAGTGTGGTCAGAGAAGATTTCACTAAGAGGTAGCATCTGGGCAAAGAAAAAGAGGAGGCAATAGGGCATGAAGGTATCCAGGATACAAGTGTTCCAGGAAGAAGAAAGAGCCAGTGCAAATGCTCTGAGGCAGGAGCAAGCCTGGAAGAAGTGTTGCAAGAATAACAAGTGACCAGAGTGGCTAAAGCACAGGGAAGGAGGGAGAAAAAATACGGAGATGAAGTCAGAGAAATAAGATGACTTCAACAGTCACGGGAAGTAAACAAACTGCTGCTGTGATTTAAGCTCTCCAAAAAGGAACTCCATTTCTATTTATACTTCTGTAAACAAAAATTACTCAAAGAGTAAATATGAATACTTACTCTGTCATATTTAGCAACTATTTCGGCTCGCTCCTGGGCAAGTTTGACTGCTACATCCTGGTTTGAATCTGTGGAGAGATCAAATTTCAATGAACTGTTATTTAAAGATTTATAAAGTTAATTAATTATAAAACTAAGATAAAATAAATGAAAATAAAACAGTAAAACAATTCTGCCTAAAATTACAAACCAGCAAAATCGAATAAAGTATCCGTAATTATAACTTTGAAATATCAACATATCTCCCATTTCAATATTACAATACCATACTCGAAAGAAAGCAAATTTGTTAACACAGCATTAACTTAGGGGATATGGTAAATCTTATCCCTCAAGAGTTAATTTTGGATCTAGTTTCACAGAAATAAATATTAAAGTAGAAACTGGAACTGAGAGCTCTAAGTTTTCAGACGAAATCCACTTGGGTAGATGATGAGAAGAACATTCAAGAAGGCTTTTAAAATTTTAGGTAATTTGCTCGCAAAATAAATCAGTGCAAGATAGACTTCAGGAGTTAAAAAAAATATTTCTCTGACATGATGAATATAATCATTTCTTCATTTAGACTCTCAGGTCTCCCTTATCAACTGCCCCAACTACTATTATAATCTCCAGTTTTTTACCACAATACAACCACAAATAAAGTTTTCTTTCTTATTACCACCAGGTTATCTTTCAAAAACGTTAAGTCTGATAATAAGTAAAGGTCAAAACATGAAATAGTGTGGATATGATTACACACCCCAACTACCATAAATAAAAATAAAAGATCAATGACAGACTGTATAAAAGGCACCTCTGATCAAGAAGAAAGACAAGCATTCCAGTGGAAACCGGGCAAAGGTCATATGCAAGAAATTCACAGGAGTGACAACAGCAGTGACAACTCTGTGTTCTGCACAGAGTGCCCGGCAGATAATAAGATACTGCCAGCATCCGATACTGCGGAAAAGCACTTTACATACTTTCCGATACTGCGGAAAAGCACACTTAATTCTCACAACAGCACTTAACTGTATTAATTCTATTACACAGATGGAAAAAAAATGAGGTTTAGAGGTTGTTTTGTTTTGTTTTGTTTTGCGGTACGCGGGCCTCTCACCGTTGTGGCCTCTCCCACTCCCATCGCAGAGCACAGGCTCCAGACATGCAGGCTCAGCGGCCATGGCTCACGGGCCCAGCCACTCCGCGGCATGTAGGATCTTCCCGGACTGAGGCACGAACCCGTGTCCCCTGCATCGGCAGGCGGACTCTCAACCACTGCGCCACCAGGGAAGCCCAGGTTTAAAGATTTTAACCAACTTGTCTAAGGTCACAAAGCTAGTAAACAGCAAAGCTAGATTCAAATCCAGACAGTATTGACTCCACAGTCCATAATTTTAACCACTACTTTATAAAAAAGATCATTAAAGACACGAAAAAGGATGTCCAGTTAAAGATGGCAGATGGAACACACACTTTTATATCCATTCCTCCTAAAACCCCACTAAAACGACAATATAGGGATTCTTTAAATCCTTGCCCTCAGTGGCCCAGCAAATGGAGGTTCCAGAGAAGAGGTGAGGGTGGGGTTAAAAACAGGGAGTTGGTTAAAGAAGTCAAGTCCCCGAGAGTTGAAGGGATGCGTGTGTGTATGTAAGAGGTTGAGTGAGTGCAGGGAAGAAAACCAAATCCTCACCCTCCAAAGCAGGAAACCATGAGATAATGACTAAATCTGCAGAACAGGAAGCGGCAATATAGGCATGGTATCTAGCGCTTTGCAAGTAAACGGATAATGAACCAGCTGGGAGTGGAGAGCGATTACTTCTTTGGGGTGGGCAGCCCGGAGGGAGGGGTGTGGAAGTCAGCTTATTTTTCAAAATAAGTTTTACAGGCTGCTGAATCTTTACACCAAGTACAGCTCTGATAAAAATAAAAGCTAATTTTAAAAGCCAAGACATGGGGGAAAAAACTCAAGTCATCAGAAACTAAGGAAATACAAATTTTAAAATACCACTTTGGAGGGGGATGGACCTAGAGTCTGTCATACAGAGTGAAGTAAGTCAGAAAGGGAAAAACTAATACCATACGCTAACTATGGAATCTAAAAAAAAAAAAAAGTTTCTCATGAACCTAGAGGCAGGACAGGAATAAAGATGCAGATGTAGAGAATGGACTTGAGGACACGGGGAGGGGGAAGGGTAAGCTGGGACGAAGTGAGAGAGTGGCCTGGACATAGATACAATATGAAATGTAAAATAGATAGCTAGTGGGAAGCAGCTGCATAGCACAGGGAGATCAGCTCAGTGCTTTGTGACCACCTAGACGGGTGGGATAGGGAGGACGGGAGGGAGATGCAAGAGGGAAGGGATATGGGGATATATGTATACATATAGTTGATTCACTTTGTTATACAGCAGAAACTAACAGAACATTGTAAAGCAATTATACTCCAATAAAGATGTAAAAAATAAATAAAATAAAATAAAATAAAGGGACTTCCCTGGTGGCACAGTGGTTAAGAATCCACCTGCCAATGCAGGGGACATGGGTTCAATCCCTGGTCCGGGAAGATCCCACATGCTGTGGAGCAAGTAAGCCCATGCACCACAACTACTGAGCCCGTGTGCCACAACTAATAAAGCCCATGTACCTAGAGCCCGTGCTCCACAACAAGAGTAGCCACCACAATGAGAAGCCCACGCACCACAACGAAGAGTAGCCCCCTCGCCGCAACTAGAGAAAGCCTGCACGCAGCGATGAAGACCCAACACAGCTAAAAATATAAATAAATAAATAAAATACCACTTTGCACCTATCTCACACTGACCAAAAAATGCATTGATATTACTCAATCTTGATATAGTGTGGGGAAATCTGCCATTACTTATGCTGTGGGTAGACTTACAAATGTATAAAATCTTTCTGGAAAGCAACTTGATAATATGTATCAAAAATCTTAAAAACAGGGATTTCCCTGGTTGGCACAGTGGTTAAGTTTCTGCACTCCCAACGTAGGGGTCCCAGGTTCAATCTCTGGTCAGGGAACTAGATCCCACATGCATGCCGCAACTAGGAGTTTGCACGCCACAACTAAGGAGGCTGCCTGCCGCAACTAAGGAGCCAGTGGGCTGCGACTAAAGAGCCCACGAGCGCAACTAAGGAGCCTGCCTGCCGCAACTTAAGACCCAGCACAACCAAATAAATAAACAAATATTAAAAAGAAAAAACCTTAATAGGTAGAGACTATAGCCCAATAAATACCCACATAATAGCAAAGTGCTGTCTATATGTTAAATAGTATTAAGGACAAAAGACACAAGAGAAGTCTTCTAAAGTAAAGAAAAAAATAAATTTTTTAAAAAATCTTAAAAACATTAAAAAAATCTCCTTTACCCAGTAATTCCACCTCTAGGAATTTATGATAATGAGATAATCAAACAAGCACAAGGTTGTTTATAATAGTAAAAATAGTAGAATGGAATTTGTGAATTTCTTAAAGCTTATTTGGGAAAAAAATGTTTATGCCACTGCTTCTCTCAGACTACAAAGTGTCAATATACTATCCTTTGAGAGAAATGTGAATAAATAACAAATGTTTCAATAAAATAACAAAAATACAGGTTAGTTGTTCAGATTTTCACAGTTAACTTATACATTCAGAAGTCTGGGATACTCAACTCAGTTATACACATATTTATTATCCTATTTTAGACGTATGAACCTTCATCAATTCCTTTTTCCCTCTCCTGTTACCCAGCTTTAACACATTACACTTCTACAAAAGGGTAGGGAAAGCAAATTAACAGAAATTAAACTCAAACTAGGAAACTTGGCTACTTAGTAAATTCTTTTTCCATTACCAGAACAGCTAAGCATGAATTTCTATGGTGATTAGGCCAAATCCAATAAATTAGTGCTTTCTTTGAAGTTTTTTTTGTTTGTTTCTTTTTTTGCGGTATGCGGGCCTCTCACTGTTGTGGCCTCTCCCGTTGTGGAGCACAGGCTCCGGACGCGCAGGCTCAGCAGCCATGGCTCACGGGCCCAGCCACTCCGCGGCATGTGGGATCTTCCCGGACCGGGGCACGAACCCGTGTCCCCTGCATCGGCAGGTGGACTCTCAACCACTGTGCCACCAGGGAAGCCCTCTTTGAAGTATTTTATACTAGTCCTTTATTTCTGCTACTAGTCCTAGGAGTCTCAACTATATTTCCAACTTAACAATGAAAAGTTTAAAAGTGTAAAGGCAAGAACTGGAAACAGTATAGAGTTGGGAAGTGAAGATGCAAAGTATCCCAAGAAAACATCATTGTGGCAAACTGTAAGATACAACGCTTTACATGGGTCGTCTCCAGTCTAGAGATTTCCAGAAAGGAGACCTAGCCAAGTAATAGGGGTTGTACTGGAATTGGATGAAACTGTACCTGATTTTATGGGAATAAAATGATTAACATGATTAGAATAGTTGACTCCAAATCAAGTCAGTACTAATCTTTAAATTCCTTTAGAAAGTTCTTATCCTTGTATTTCCTGATGGGGAGAAAATTTTGTAATGTTAATGAATGTAAAAGAGAACAGAGTTAAAGTCAAACTAATTTTATAAAATATAGCCAAACCTGCTTCTTTGAAGAGACTAAATAGAAATGCCAAGTTTAGAGACGTTATTTAATAACCCGCATTGTGAAGCAAGCATCTTTCCAGTAAGAAGTAGTGTCCTTATGCAGAATTCACTACAGTTAGATTATATTTCATACTGTCTGATCTACAGCTGAGAAGTTTATTAAGAAGTATAGTAGAATACTCCCTTTGGTTTTGTTCTGATTGCTTATTTAGAAATTCCACTGCAGAGCAAAGAGTTTGCCCTATAAACACTGACCACAGAAGGTATCCGCAGCTGTCTGTGTCTATGCAAGTGTGCACTGACTTCCAGGCTGTGTTCCTGGGCACTTGTCACTATCAAACACAGTATTCAAATATCACAGTATTCAAGCCAAATTAAATCAAATTATCTTAATTGACTTTACATCTAATGTAACAATGTTTCAAAGTATAAGAGGCACATTTCAAGCAGTAAGGATCGAAAGACATTTGGATTAAATACTCAAGTATACAGAAAACATCTCTGGGCACAAACGTATGGAAGAAAGTGACAACTAGAGCATTTTAAGAAGACCTCTAATTCCATTTAAACATAAAAACTTTAAAGAATCAAGCATCCACCTGGATTGTAACTTAGTATCACTAAGTTAGCCCCAAATTGTAATGAACAATTCATTCAAAGTTACTAAATTCTAAATTCAATGAAACAAAATTGACAGACCATTTTTCCTAGTATACGTTTTGACAGATGAATGTAAATAAATATATATTTCAATTTAAAAAGTACTTTACCCTTTGTTAGATAACCAGTCTGGCTTTGGGAATTAACAACAGCTTCAGTCCTCATAGAGTAAACTTATCTCTTCCAAGATTCCATTACTGCTTTATAGTTTGCAAGCACACCAAGAGTGTTATGTGGTCCCTCACACATTCTGCAACAAACTGAAACAGAAAGTGGAAGGCAGCTCTACTTTAAACTATTTGTGAAACAGGCACAAGAAAGAAAAGGTCTGAGATATATTCTAAGGGGGAAAAAAAGACCTTGCTGTGGTTACACGCACTACAGATATTCAAACAAAGATGATGTTTGTTGAGGGTAAAAACATGCCTTTCAGGCTAGATCCCAAGTATGAACCACACCAGCCTACACCCAGCATTCCATCTAGTTAACAAACAGGGGCTTTGAATATGCCTTAATCTTGCACTTCAAAATTAGCCACATTCTTATTACTTTTAATAAAACTTGTCTTGGAGCAATAAAGAAAATTTGTATTTAAAACATTAAACTACAGCTAAGTAGGATTACTCTTCTCGAGTACATTTTATAACTTAATTTTAATGATACTTTTTAATGTGAAAGCTTCAGCCCCTGTTTCAGACACTAAGCAAATGCATACTAAATTCTGGAGGGCTTTGGAAATATTTAACACACCACACATATACAAGTGAAATAAATGTTTCATGAAACAAAATGCATAGCTACTGCCGGGCGGCACTGTGAAATGTCCTATTTATTCTTTCCTTCTTCCCTTCACTGTTTCCTTCTTTCTTTTTTTTTTTAAAGGGTTGGGACCTACAATATGGAAACTACTTTGCAAAAGTGACAGCCACCTTAGAGGCATGATTATGAACATGAATTACACTTAACTGGACACTAGTGAATTACGTTTACACTCAGCTTAAGCCAGGTGTAACATTCAATACAGGTAAAAGATGTCAGAAGCTTAGAGAGAGGGAAAAAGTTCAAATCATAAACCAAGGAATGAGAATCAGACTGGCATCAAATTTCTTATCAACTAGAAGGTAATGAAGCACTTATTTTCAAAGTTCTGAGAAAAAAGAAAATTATCATGAGCTTGGAATTCTATACCAAGCTAAACAACTGATTCGGTATGAGGAAAAAGTAAAAACGTTTACGGATATTACAAGGTGGAGTGAGCTGAAGAATGACTCCCCAAAATATGTCCACATCCTAATCTCTGGAACTTGTGGATGTACCTAATACGGCAAAAGGAATTTGCGGATGTAATTAAGTAAGGATCTTGAGGTGGGAAGGTGACCCTGGATCGTGAAGGTGGGCACAACGCAATCACAGGAGTCTTATGAAAGGCAGCCAAGACGGTCAGAGGAGGAAGTAGGTGTGAGGATGAAGGCAAGAGGCTGGAGTGATGTGAGGAAAGAAGGGGCCATGAGCCAAGGAAAGGAGGCGGCCTCCAGAAGCTCAGAAAGGCAAGGATCCCCATTCTCCCCTAGTGGCTCCAGAAGGAGTCAGCCCTGCTGACTTCAGCCCAGTGGAACTGATTTCAGACTTCTGGCCTCCAGCACAGTAAGAGAATCAATTTTGTTGTTTTAAGCCACCAAGTTTGTCATAGTTTGTTACAGCACCAAGAGGAAACTAATACAATGATTCAGAGTTTACTGTCTAAACAATGTTTCTTTGACAAAGACTCTCTCCTTGTCCAAACTTTTAACCCTCTTCTTTACTAGGCCTTGAGTCCTGTTTTAGCCTGCCTAGCCCAGCTGTAGCAAAAATCCTGCTAAGTCAGTTCAGTGAGAGTCCCCCCACCCTTGACATCTCTTTGCTCTTGATATCTGGTCAGATTCCTCATCCCCCACCCTTGATATCTGGTAACACTGGCCTGCCTCTACCAAAAATCCTGTTAAGTTGGTTTAGCAAGAATCCCATCCTTGAAGTCTCCTCTTAGTAATTTTCTATCCACCAAGGCCCTTGCTTGACTGAGTGACTATAAATCTCTTATTTATAGGGATTTCTTTATTGTTTTAATAAGTGTCAGAATAATTTTTTAACAGAATCAAAAAAAGGGGTAGACACAGGATCCATGCAATCTCAGGAAGCTAACTGTGTAGTTGCCTAGAGAGTGACTAGCCTGCATTAGAATAGGAAATACAAGGTGTCTTCAAGAAGAAAGTGGATTCTAGGCAACATGTAGATCACAGATATTATTAGCGATACAGTGAAAGCTTACATATGAAAGACACCAAAAAGAGGACAAGAAGACTATTAGAAAATTCAGAACAAACAAAGCAGAGAGTGATAAAAGTCATGGTCAAATATGAAGCAATGTACAAAGGGGCATGGCTATGAATTTGATACATATGGGAAAAGTGAATTCATCTGACCTTGACACTTTCAACATTAGGATTATATTTCCTTCCTACATACTTCATCATAATGTTTGAGACTGAAGTAAATTATATTGACTGCTGACACTGTGATTAAATAAGGATTTTACTGGCTTTTAATGTTCATAATCAACTATATACAAAGCGTCTAAAATTGAACTCTGCACACTTCCACACACCCCACTCCAAACCTAAGTCCCCCCTACCTAGAAGCAGCCACCGTTATCTCCCAAAACTATTCTCCACACTATACAAGAATCTGCATGTATGTATGCACATACACATATATTTAAATGTCCCTTTTCTATTTAAAAACTAGAACCATTCTATAAATAATTCTAGACCTTACTCTTTTTTGCTTAACAGTACATCTTCGAGCTTATGCATATCAACAGCAATAAAGGCTTAGCAACCAGTTCTTGCAGGGAAGAAGTTTAGGCTGTGAGCCCTGGTTTGTGGCATCTGCCAATTTCTGTGCTGCGAATATTCCCACTGTGGCGGCCAATTACCAAGGTACCAGTGTGATGTCACCAAACTCATAGTTCAGGCTGGGTCCAATATATCAGTGGATCTACCTCAACCTTCTCCACAGCTGTAAAGTTTTCCAATGCACGAACATAATTTATTCAACTAGTCCTTTCTTAGGAATTCGAACTAGGATAAACTAGAGTCAATTTGTAATGCGAGTTAAAGGTGAAACATTATGAGGTAAAGAGCTTAACAGGTTACTGTAACCAAAGGCAAGCTGAAAAAAAAGAGGAAGCAGAAACTAACAGGAAGCTGAGAAAAAGATGCTTCAGAGAGGAAAACGGTACCCAATACGCAGAGCAAAGCAGTCACCATCAGAGAGACCTTTTAGCCTAAAAAAAAAAAGAGAGAGTCTAGCCCACCTCTGAGCTGCTGCTGCGGTTGCTGGCTTTCCTTTCCTGCTCAATGCATGCATACAAAGCAAATGCTTTCTCCTGAAATTATCTGAGTAAATTACCCATGTCTATAATTTGAGTTCTTTAATTCCATCTCATCTTTCAACCAAAAGAGGCCCTAAGTATAGATGGTGCCTAAACAATGTTTCAGTTATTTGTGATCGCTTTCTCTGAATACTATGGACTAAGATACACCAATTATAAAGATTCTTCTAATGATAAAATCTTAAAAGGCACCATTGCTAAAAACGTCAGCATTTATTTTGCCATGCTCTAGATCCAAGGCTGAAGGGAACGCTCAGAGGAGAAATAAGCAGAGTTAAACAGATCAACATCAAAACACAACTAAAAACAAAATAAAGGAAGGCACACCAGTCACAAGAGAACCTGAAATACCACTTATTTTAACTAGTTATTCTGTGAGAGATGATATTCAATACGGACACTTATTCTCCCCACAACAAAGTTTATTACTGGAGTAGCATCCCGGGAGAGCTTCACATCCTTAGCCAAAAGCTCCAGCTGGTGGTCCTGTGAACACTGATCCCAAAACTCCTGTCCCTTTTACCCTAATCCATGCTCCTGCGCCCTCCAGCACAGTCCCACCTCCACCTCTCACAGCTCAGTTAACTCCACCTTAAACAAGTGTCTTATCAAAAATGTACAACCTCAAAAACCCATTTCTCTCCTTCTTCCTTCCCCCACTAGAGTAGTAATCTCAGAAAAATCATTTGCTTCCTCCCCTCTTTCCATGTTAACTTGGAAACAACACAACAACAAGATTCTGATCACAGCTGCAATTATAAAAATAGTGTAACTAATCATGATCAAGGAAGGGACAGCCAAAAGCTGAAAGTTAAATACAGGAAATAACCAATGCCATAAACCCAAAAGTCCTCAGAAATGCCCCACTTTCCACTTCAAAAGAGCCATACAAGCTTCCACATACATCTTCCTACTCCTCTGGTAATATGCATTGTCTGATACAATAAAAGTGTTCAAACAATAAGCCTAAGTGCTCTTCAATTTTAGCTTTTAACTGTCAGTGTAAATATGATTTATACCTTTCCATTCAAAATATTTCTATTATCTCACTAGTAGCATGATAATCAGTATTTCCTATTATATCATGTTTTCATTTTTAAAGTTTTCATTCAATGCACAGAACACAATTCTTCAAACAAATTCTTATATAGAAGCCCAACTTTCAAGCAAGGAGAGTGATGGGGTTGAGGAGAGATGAAGCAAAGTCCTCGTGTTAGCACGTTTGTCATCTACTGCTCAAATGAGTTCTCTTCCAACAGTTTCCCAACTGCCATTACCACCTCCCTTTCATAGAGTCCTCTCAATTCTCCAGGCCCTTCTCTTGCTTCTACGAATAAAAAGATTAACACTTTATAATTGGTAGGTTGTCTGTATGTTGTTTTGCTTGTAAGCATATATATTTTAAGACCTGTAAGAACAGGACACATCTCCAACATTTTAAACATGGAGCACCCAGCATCAGGTAGATATTTAATATTTCTAAAACTAATAAAATATTTTAAATCATAATTTTAACAACAATTCCAGGGAAGGCTTCTATTACTTGCTTCCTGAATTCTAGAAAGATGAGAAACAAAATAATTTTAAAGTCCTACAATTACTGACAAGGACTCATTATAACAGGATAATTTTTTTCCCTAAAATTTAATCATGACTACAGACCTACTAGAGGATCCACCTTACCAATGCCCATTGCCATAAAGGTAGAATTGGTTACTGGTAGAACTGGCCTTTA